GTTAAAAATTTCACGCACCAGCGCATGAAAGCTGAATTCGAAACCTTGAAGGGTGAATAACTTTATTCCGAGTTAACAGTTCACCCGCCAAAATTTTCATGAGGCCGTAGGTGATACTCAGGAGCGTGGGAACGCTGAATTTGAATAATCAAGGTTGAGCGTGGGCAGGAGGCATTACCCTAAAATTTCAGCCTCCCAGACTCCGTGGTCCCCGAAATATTAATTTACCCACAAAAAACTTTCACGGGGCCGTACGTGTTACCCGCGGGTACGGGAAAGCTGAATTTAAATTTACGGGGTCACACGTGGGTGCGGATGTTTCCCTAAATTTCCAGCTTCCTAGCTTTTGTGGCTCCCGAGTTGAAAGTTGCGGACAAGTTGTTGCAGACACACACACACACACAGACAACCCCGTGACAATATGCGTTTTGTACTGCTGTTACACAGCACAAAACGCATAAAAGCAATGAAAAGTTATGTGAAAAAGTTCCAGCCTTCCAGCTTTTCTCGTTCCCAAGCAAGCAATTTTTCGCCAAAATTTTCACGTGCCTATGCGTAAAACACAGACAGAAAGTTCTGCGGGGGAAAATTGTTATCTCGGGAACCATAAGAGCTAGGAAGCTGGAATTTTATGATTGTGTGCTTTGCCCACATATGAACCCACAAATTTAAATTCAGCCTCCTCGTGCACTCGGCTACCACGTGCGACCCCGTGAAAGTTTGGCGGGAAATTATTTCTGCGAGAATCAGAAAGGCCAGAGAGCTAAAATTTTACGACAACGTTCCCTGCCCAAGTACAACTCTGCAACTTTAAATCCAACCTCCCCTCTAGGTGTGAATACCACGCACGACTCTATGAAAGTTTTGGCGGGGAAAATTATCTTGAGAATCAACAACTCTTGGGAGCTGAAATTTTAGGCTATTATCCCCTCATCACGTACGACCCTGTAAATTCAAACTCAGCTTCCACGTACGCCTGGATCCCAACGCCCTCGTGAACGTCTTGGC